GATTTATAGAAATGTTTCAATTGTCTATACCTTTTGGAAGAGAGTATTTATACAAGGGGGTTGATGGAAAAGTAATGCATTCAGTCATAAGTCACCAACTTATGCCAGTGCTGATGCACTAAAGCTCTGATGTGTTCTATAGTGTCTATTCAGGAATCAAGAAGGAAAAGAAGGATGATCATAAGATTAGAAAATACAGAAACTAATGACTTAGAATTATTGTAGACCAGCGGTTCTCAACCTATGGGTCGCGACCCCATTTGGGGTCGATCGACCATTTTTTGGGGGTCGCCAAAGGCGGCGATCCGCCATTTTCTCCCCTCCGGGGGCACCACCGCGCATGCGCGCCGCGCATGGGGGCGCCGCCATGCATGCGCACCGCGCATGCACATAACGTTTGTGTGACGGGGGTCGCCGTCACACAAACGTTGAGAACCGCTGCTGTAGACTATGCATTAAATATGTAATAATTTACATCTTTGGGCAATAGAATACCTGGCCAATTTTCCTGTAATAGAAAAAACTAGTTTTTTTTTCAATTCAATATGAAATATGCTGAATTAAGATGATGTCTATTTCTATGTAGTTTTTTTTTTTTTAATTCTACCACTATATTTCTTTCCTTGGAGAGATAACCATCCCATAACCATTGCTCTTCAAAATGTATATGTCTCCCTCTAGTGGTTATACTAATATCTGTTTGTAGAGGCGTGCCTCCTTTACCTTCCTCAATCTTTTAAAACTGAAAGTTTCTCCTTCAGTCACAGTCAACAGTAACTAAAATTACTATCATATCTGTGCATTTGAATTACATACAGTGGTGCTTACAAGTTGTTAAACCCTTTTGAATTTTCAAAATTTTTCCATAAACATGACCAAAAATGTGATATGTTCTCCAAACAACTTAAAACTAGACAAAGAGAACCCAATTAAACAAACAAATCATAAACATTACACTTGTCCATTGATTTATTGATCCAAAGCTATACATTTGTGTGCAAAAAAAAAATATGAATCTTTGCTTTCAGTAACTGATGTGCCCCCCTTGGATAATTACAGTAAATGTTTCCCATAACTGCTGATTGGTCCTGTACATTGGCTAGGAGGCATTTTAACCCGTTCCGCCTTACAACACAGCTTCAACTGAGGGATGTTAGTGGGCTCCTTGCATGAACTGCCCATTTCAGTTCTATAAGATTAAGGTCAGGGACTTTGACTTGGGCATCCAAAACTTTACCTTTCTTCTGAATTAACCATTTTCTATTTTTGGTTGTATAACTTCTATATTTTCGATCATTCTTTCTATGTGATGCACTCTTTCTTGATCTTCAGTTCATAGACAGATAGTCTGATATTTTGTTGTAATATTTGCTGGTACAATACAGAATTCATCCATCCATCAGTGATGCAAGCCATCCTAATCTAGAAGCTGAAACTATGATACTGCCACCACCATGCTTCACAGATGGGATAAGGTTCTGCTTCTGGAATGCAGTGTTTGCCTTTTGCCAAACTGACACTTTTCACTCAAGCCAAAAAGTTATATTTGATTCCCATCTATCCAGAGAACATTCTTTCAGTATCTTTCGGGATTATCACAAAATGTAGACAGGTAGAAGTGTTCTTTTTAGAAAGCAGTAACTTTCTCCTTGCAACCCCACCATGCACGGTCTTATTGTTCAGTTGTTGTTCAGCTGTTCAGTATTACAGGCCTTGCTCTTGGTGTAATATTGGTTGTTCGACTACTCCTGGGAAAGGTAAGAGTGGTGTTGAATTGCCTCCATTTGTACACAATCTGCCTGACAATGTATAGTGGAATTCAAACTCTTTGGACATAGTTTTGTAACTATTTTTCAGCCTAGTAAACATCAACAGTGGTTCTCAGAAATTGTTGTTTAAGGTATGCCACACCTCCACATACTTGTATTGTAAAGATCAGACTTGATCGTGAATACTCAGAATTCTGTCCTTTGAATAAACGGGACTTCTCACAATCATACACTATTTTCAACCTATTGATTGAAACACCTAAGTAATTTCCTGTTGAAATGAACTGATAATCCTAGAGCAGGGATCTCCAACTCCTGTGCCATGAATCGGTACCAGTCCATGGCCTTTTAGGAATTAGGCCGCACCGTTGGAGGTGAGCAGCAGGCAAGTGAGTGAAGCTTCATCTCTATTTGCAGCTACTCCCCAGTACTAGCATCATTCCCTCAGCTCCACCTCAGATGATCAGGCATTAAATTCTCATAGGAGTGTGACCCCTACTGAGCATGCAAGGGATCTAGGTTGCACGATCCTCCTCCTGCCCCTCCCACCCATGGAAAAATTGTCTTCTGGTGCCTGGTGCCAAAAAGGTTGGGGGCTGCTATCCTAAAGATTCATATACATTTCTCCACAAAATCTATGTAGCTTTGGATCATTTTCCTTAACAAATCAATGAACAAGTATAATGTTTTTGGTTCATTTGCTTAATTGGTTTCTTTATCTACTTTTAGGCTGCAGAACGGATCACATTTTAGGTCATATGCAGAAATATTTAAAATGCTAAAGGATTCACAAACTTTTAAGCACCACTATATGCAAGTGCACTATATGTATGCAAGTGCCCAATATATCTGATAACCAAGATGTTTTTTAAATAGTAGACACGGCACCATCATAGACATTTTTCTTATATCTACAGTGTTTAACAATGATCAGTCATAGATCAGAAAGGCAGACTTTAATAGAGCCATAACAGTTGGTTTTTAATTGGGGTCAGCTTTTGACAAAAATATTGACAATGGAAATTATACTGTTGTAGGAGTAACAAAGAGGAGAATAAGGCTAGATCAGTGGTTCTCAACCTTTTTAATGCTGTGACCCCGAACCGGTCGTACGTCGAGGACTACTCAACCAGTCGTAAGTCAAGGACTACTCAACTGGTGCAGCACCGTTTGCAGAATGGGACTTTTGGCGGGCTCAGCAGGGCAGAGACAGCCTGGACAATTCCCATTGGCTTTTGAAAGCCAATAGAATTAGACTCTATTCAAGACAGTCTATTCTATTGGCTTTCAAAAGCCAATAGAATAAAAGGGAGTAGCACAGCTAAGGACAAGGGGGGAAAAATGGCGGACTGCGTTGTTTGGTGACCCCCGTGAAATGGTCGTTCGACCCCAAATGGGGTCCCGACCCACAGGTTGAGAACCACTGGGCTAGATAATGACAACTTACTGGGATTCAACAAACACATCAGACATTCAGTTATTTACTTATGAATTATATATGCATGCTATCCTTATTCGAGATCTCCTAAGCAACCCTCTACTGCTTACCTCTTTTCATCATCATTTTCTCTTCCACAATATACAAAAATATACTTTTTTACTAGATTTTTAAAATCAGAATTACAATTGTTACAGATGCACGCAAGACCAGGCTTCTGTCTCATTTGGTGTCTACCAGCTGTGCTTATGAAAGCATGCATCATGATAGTTCTGTTGCACAGAAAAACCTGTTTTTCCGAGAAACCTCATATTATCCCAACTTTCTTAAAGCAGGCTGGCAATTGGAGGTTTGACAGTTGGATAGGATTTCTATATAACAGCCACAGGTGGGCTTGAGAAGCAATGTAATGTTTGCTTAGAATGATCCAACAAACAAAAGCTAACAATAAAAATGAAAGAGCACTGAAGATAAAGATCTTTGAGAACAAAGCGATTCACGTTTGCAAAAAGAGGCAGTTCAGAAGGTCCTAGAAATGGTTAATCTAAGATTTTTGAAGGAGAAGTAAGTTTTTTATGACAAAAACCAAAACCCTTATAGGCAAGCTCACTCCAATGGGAGTTTGGTTATTTCTGGTCCTGGGTGTGAACTGAAAATGCTGTTGGACTCGTCTTCACATTCCCGTATTGCAGCAGGAATATGTCCCAGGAACCATTTTTATGTGATATATTTTTACAATATTGCATATGTTTCTTTCCCAGTCCATCACTAAATGTCATAGTTAACATTTTTAGTCTTAAGGGAGCATTTTCTTTGTCCTCTCAACATTATTTTTGCTCTGAACAAAATCTAGCATGATTCACTGACGATATGGTTGAAGCCATGAAATTGGTCTCTATTTAAGGCTGTGATCAATCAATCAATCTATCTATCTATCTATCTATCTATCTATCTATCTATCTATCTATCTATCTATCTATCTATCTATCTAGTGGGTCTGCCATTCTTTAGAAAGAGGTTTACATTCATATCCAAAAGTAGTCCAATTCATTGCATACCTCCACACCTGTAACTTATTAGTTGGTTAACTTAACAGGTGGCTAAACTTTCCTTTATCTGCCTAAAATTCTTTCCTTCACTTGTCCTATAATAAAACTGTAAGGACAGAATCACCTGATACAATAGGCTATTGAAGCACCAAGATAACATATATTTCTGCTAATTTAAGGACTAAGAGGACAACTGGCTATACTCCTAGTGTTCATAAATAAAAACAGTACTATGTTATACATTTCTTGCTACAGTATTTCTCAAATGGCAGAATGGCCTGATACATAAATAAAGCAAGGCTAGAATCCAAAGAACTATTTAATATAATGGGTAAGTTTTTTCTGGTCTAGGCCAGTTATGACCCATAAACTATATAAACTTTTAGAATTATGATATTTTGAATAGTTTTAATGGATGAGGCAATGGTTGTTTTTCTCTTGGTACTCTGTTTCTTTTCTTGGAATGCTACCTTTTAATATAAACTAATTATATAGAAAGTTTTAACATTATGAATATGCATACTTTTGGATTTTATGACCAACTTAACTTAATGGTTTAGTTCTGACTTTTGATTATTGTGCTTGGATCAATTATAGAAAAAATAAAGCCTACACAAATATAAGATATAATAATCATTATTACAATGTTTTGGAAGACTATTAGTACAATTTATTAGTACAATGCATAAAGTTAGCAAGCATAACGTTTTCCATACAGAAGAATGCTTTCAGATTGGAGGCAATTTGAATTCTTACTTGGACATAATGTTAAGTAAACAGACAAGACACTTTATTTCAGACTAGTTTATTTAATAGATCAGAAATGATACATGTCACATAGTATAATGTCAAGATTTGCTTTAATCAAAAAACAAATCAGGATCAAGAGAAGAAAAAAGTGATCATGACTTGCTCATAGATTGTTCATTTCTGCCAATACCTAGAATGAATGGAACATAAACTAGCACCAAAAGATGAACAAATTATGGTTTCAAACTACTGGTAGACCTTGATGCATGATCACAACTGAGCTCAACACTTACATTGCTAAGCAAGACAGTTGTTCAATTTTGCCTCACTTTACGTTTTTTCTTGCCACAGTTGTTAAATGAATCACTGCAGGTGTTAAGTTAGTAACACAGTTATTAAGTAAATCTGGCTTCCTCATTGACTTTGCTTGTCAGAAGATCACAAAAGATAATCACATGTCCCTAAGAAATGTAAGCGACATAGATACATGCCAGTTGCCAAGTGGCCAAATTTTTGATCACGTGACCATGGGGATGCTGCCAATGGTTGTAACTGTGGAAAATGGTCCTTTTCTCAGGGTCACTGTAACTTTTAATGGCCACTAAATGAATGGTTGTAAGCCAAGGGCTACCTGTATAGTTCTTGTCCCAAATGACCATACATTTTTCTGACTTAGAATTTTTTTTTTAATATCACTCTTAAGCCAAAAACAAACCACTTGTAAATTACCTTGGATTTAGTGCATGAACTGTGCCACTGCAAATCATTTTGTATATCACCATGGCATACTTGTGTGTTCTAACCCAAAAGTAAGGATTGAAAAGCATGAAGTATTTGAATGCTGTGATTATATGTAGTTTCTACATTAAAGCATTTCAGGACACATCTGAAATCACTAAATTGCTCTGCTCAATAATGTTTCTAATTATTGTTCATTTATCCTTTATCATAGGAGCCTAGAAATCCTAGATCTAATCCTAAATCCTAGAAAATATCCCAATTGCATGTGGTAAAGCAGCCATGAAGGCTTTGGAAAAATATTTAAATGCTGTGATATGTCTATGCCTACAAAAATCAGAGTAACACAAGCAATGGTATTCTATATGATACTCTATGGAAGCAAAAGACACAGAATAGGAAGAATATTGACACCTTTGAACTATGATGTTGGAGAAGACTCCTGGGAATATTGTGGACAGCCAAGAAAACAAACCAATGAATCACTGAATAAATCAACCCAGAGTTCACTTGAGATACAAATGACCAGGCTGAAATTCTACTTTGGACAAATTATGTGGAAAATGCTCTAATGCCCGAAAAGATAGAAGGAAAGATTATTTCCAATATATGTTCATGAACTGAATGCTCTTATATATAAAAAAGTTTTTTATGTGCAGAGAACTAAAATAATACAAGTTACTTTCCCAGTTTTCTCCCAAATGTAAAGATTTTCTATGTACATATTTCATATAACTGAAAGTGATGTGGAACATCTAATATACATCATCTTCACCTATCTATACAGTATATCCTGAAATAACACAACAATACACCTTATATTTTCAGAAAATCTAAGTTGTCTTCTGGAACAAAGTCATTTAGAAGAATGGTTTTTTTTTTAATGATTCAAGTTTCCTTTTATCTGGCTTACAGAACAGGGGCTCTAGGCATTAGCAATTGGGAAAGACCCTGATATATAGTTCCCTGAGCAGGAAAAGTTGCCATTTGAGTGGAAACAGGAATTTAGTTTCTTGCTTCTACTGCAAACAATATTCACTGCACTTATTAATAAAACTTATGACAAACCTAGCTTTTGTACAATAACAAGCATTTATTATAGGAGTTGGAGTAGGATGGTGTTATTAGTAACTTCATGATCTGGGCTCCTGCGCACCAGGAAAAAAAATATAGCTAAACTATAAGATTTTCCTCTCTGTGGGTGGCATTAATCATTACATTGCCTATAGTGGAAAACTAAATGATTTTTTTCATATTTAAATTCAGTTCTTTGCACTGTTCCACTAGGTAGTTATTTGTTTTAGCCTTTTCCTGCTGCACCACACCCATGGTACAAACTATGTAAAAGTCATGGCCATTCCTTCATTTAAAACAAGACCATCATAATGATAGCACAATTTATTTGCCTGATCGAAATACTGCATAATAATGAAGGTGTGCTTTGATTGCCTGGGTCTGAACTCCTGACAGGTTGCAACCCTAAATGCAAACAATTTTGAAAGCAAACAAGTAATGTGAAGAGAAAAGGAAAATGTCACATAATCCATTCACCACACATTTCAAAGCATAGCTAGGAATTTTGTGTTCTCTAAAGCTATACTTGTTCTCTGATTAAATAGAAAAGCAAGTATTCCCCATAAGGTATCCATGAACTAAAGACCAGGAATTATGAGTTCTCTTTTGTCAACCTTTTAACTTTTAAACAGGAATTTTCATTTGATTTATGGAGAAATATGCAAACCATATAAAATTCTCACCTATCTGCACCGAGTTTTTAGGCAGTTATTTTCTTTATGTAACAATTCATCTTGTACTTGCCTGCCATGTAGTTGTTAGAGATGAAACACCTGTTAGGAAAATGAAGTGGAATTTTAATGAACAACAAATAAGGTTGAATATACAGACCCAGATCCATGTACAGGGAATTGGGATCAGAATTTCAATCCCTAAGTAATATGGTCATTAAGTGAGTCATCATGTGATCAGACCTAATTTTACCAGAGCTTTATCATAGACATTAAGTGAATCACTATGGTTGTTAATTGAATCACACGGCTGCTAAGCAAATCTGGCTTCTCCAATTGAGTTGGCCAAAAGCTGGTTGAGAGGATCACAAATTGTGCCCACGTGACCACAATGCACTGCAACCGTCATAAATACAAGACAGTTGCCAAATGGCCAAACTGCAATCATATGACTGAGGGGGTAGTGTGACGACTGTAACTTAAGAGCATGGGTTGTAAATCACTTTTTCTAAAGCCATTGCAACTTTGAATCATTGTTAAATGAATAGTTATTAAGTCAAGGACTAGCTGTATTAAGAAACATGTAAAAGTCCTATGCAGGATAAACCCGTGAGTTTGCATTACCCTACTTTTAATTTTTTTTTTAAAAAAAGATGAAACTTCTTCTAGTATTTTAAAACAAATTCATGCCCTCTTCTAATTCCTGGACCTACCCAAGACTCAAGATCAGTCCATTGTGTTTCATTAAATCCAATATACACTACAGAATCTATCTGCCTTTGTGCAAAATTTGAAATTGAATTAAGAGTAGACAATGAAAAAAATGAGACAATTCTTTTCCTTGACCACAAATTCATCTTGTTCTGATGAGAGTTCATAATTGTAGTCTCGATCATTTCACACACTGTCAATGAAATATATGTATTACCTTCAACATTCACATTCATATTTTAAAACTGTTGATTTTAAATATATGCTGAGTGGGACAACTATTCTAAAAAAAATATGCTAATACAAGAGGGATGTGTTTGGCTAGTGTACCATCAATGTTAAAATCTGTAAAGCAGTCTACAAGCAGAAAAACATATAGTAACATATAACTGAAGACTGATTTTTTTTTTTAAGAAAAAGATTAACAAGAAAATTGATCACTTTTCTGGAAATTCAACCTTTAATTTTGATGTGAGAGGTGAATCTTTTATTTACAATATGAAAATGGAAGGCATCAGTACAACAGAGACCAGAGATGGAAGGTTTGGGGCCTTAAACTTTCAGAAGCCCTACACACTGGCCCTACTCCTGTTTTGCAGGAGTAGCTTAGTAGTTCATATTGATGCTACCTATCTTCCGGGTAGCACCTCACTAGTATATTTCCCATCATCCCAGTAGGAGAGAAAGAGTTGTCATGAAAATTACGCTGCAATTAAGGTAAGAAAATGCAAAATAATAAAACCTCTTGATCATGTATTGCAGAGATGTATGACTAATTATAGTAATAATATAGTTGGAAGGAACCTTGGAGGTCTTCTAGTCCAATTTTAGTTAATTTCATCCATTTTACCCCTTTTGAAACACAGACCAATCTTGTAATAAGAAGAGAAAACATGTACTGTAAAACCCCTTTTTAATTTTAAACAGTAAAAAGTAAATAGTCAGCGCTGGCAAAGATAAATTATAAAGCTAACAAATTGAAAGGAAATTTCCAAAAGAAAATGCTCTAGGCAGGCCATAAAGTAGTGCTGGTCTTGCTACAAATGGCATTCTTGTCAAATGGGAAAAGTTGCAATTTAATGCGCACTATCTGTATGGAGGAAGTTTGCAGTACTGCAAATATCTGGCAAGCAAGCATTTTCACAAGTCAGGAAAAAAAACCCAAAAGGTAAATTGGAGAAATGAAACATAAATCAGCTTAGATGCTCTGTGGAAGTTAAGCAATATATCTAGCATATAGCAGGAAACAGGAATGTTTTCAAGATAGTGGGGTCTTTTCTCTAAAAGTTTAAAGGATGATTTTGTAAGAGTACATGCAATGTTTACTTACAAAAGTGTAACATATGGAATGCAGCAAATGGGCTTTCAAATATTGTCACACAGGCATGTACGGTGCAGTTGCTGCTGACTCTATTGAACTGTGCAAGTGGCAGTAAATACTTATTGTTTAATAACCGTCATATTCAACAGTACAAAGAGTGATTTCTGTCCTGCAGCTGGTTAGACCTTAGGTGTGCTGCTCTTGCTAATTGCCATTAGTTAGTCAGTCCTGAAGATACTATTCAAAAAATAAGAAATAATAGTTGAACCAATGAGGAGAGAAGCATAATAATCATAATAAACAGAATACAGAAATGTAGGACAAGAAATTGTACCACTGAGAAAAGAGAAGTGATAGTTTATCTTGCTTTGTACTGAGCTCATAGAGCTCATTGATCGTTGATTGTAGGTCAGCGTACTTGATTCTGAATCTCTGTCAGGAGCCAGAAACATCCAGAAACTGCACATTTATTGTGTTATACAAGTTATTAGAAATATTGGAAATATCCATTATATAAGTAATCCAATGTAGTTTATAAATTCTTGGCAAGAATAACCAAACTCAGTGATTTTACTGGTATGCTGTCCCATTTCACTGGTTTAAACTGTGTAACATCCATTATTTTTACTATAAATACAGAAGCCAAAAGCCAAACTCAACAAGATTGGAACAAAAATCTCAAACATACATACCTTTCAACTTTTAAAGTTAACATAATGCTGCTAACCTAATTAATCAGAGTCCGCTGGGGTGGACTGCTATAAATCTAATGAAATGACAATCCTGAGAATTCAGATCTCTTTTTTCCACTGAGGATTTGGAAAAATCATATTTAATTCCCCATACAGCCAATCTATCTTTATCCAAGTATCCACAAACTAATGTAAGATTAGTTTCTGTAACTAAAAAAAATTGATGCTCTGCTTCTATAGCTTCATAACAGGTCTTTTACAATGTTTAGATACTTAGAATGTAGTGTATGATAAAATTACTTCCAACATTTTTTAAATAAAAGCACTCCATAGCACTAAATGGAATTCTGTGAGACATGATCCTCTTTGAAGTAAAACAATTAGTTTTATTCATCAGAATAGGCACAGCTTTAAGGCTGTTCAGCCGGTTAAATTTCCTATTTCTTGGCCACAGAAATGGTTAGGAGGAAAAAAACCCCACATTATTTCTTTTAAAAATTTGAATAGCAAGCATATACATACATACGTTCAGAAAAGATACCTACATACATTCAAAAATAGAAGTGGGTTGCAGTCAATTGAATTTATCATGTTCTTTTTTTAAAAAAATATGCATAGATCTGTTCTAATATTGCAAATAGCTCTCATTCACAAAGTCTATCCCAACTGACCTATGAAATCCAGTCACGATGGCTGATGCTGCACAAAATTTGTACAGATGTTTAAATAGTTTACTCAGATGGAAATTATACTGCAGCTTAAACAACAGGTGACATTTTATAGCATATAAGATCTATTGAACTCCATTACTAGCTACATAGGGGAGGCAGACTGTTATGGAAGGTGTGGCCATTCATAATTCAAAGAAGTTGCTCGTCAACTTAGCTATCCCAGGAAACTTTCTACTACTCCACCCTCTCTTCTCACATCCCCCCCCCTTTTGTCCAGGCAGATGAGTATATTTCCAATAAAACACAGGGATGTTATCACATACTACTTTTATTTTCTAACATCTCTGGGGCAAAAGACATTCATAAAAATAAGGCTATGTTAAAATAATGGTTTTTGCTTTGTAGCATGCTAGTTATCATTTTATTATTTACAATTTGATTTTTAAAAAAGGCTAATGGGTGCAAAGGGAATATCCTGAAGCATATTGATACAAAACTGCACTACAATTTTCCATTAAGAACAATGAATTTTCAGATTAGTTCTGGTTTGTCTATAACTCAAGAAATGAAAATAAGAACGAAAAGTAATCACTTAAATAACGAACAGATGCTACAGCAGCAACTTCACCACCAATAAAAACTCAACAACTATACAATTGTTTTGTGTTAATTTAATCATACAAATATTCATTTATACATTAAGGAAAAAGCATCTTTGTTTTTCCCACAATGTGCTATTATAGGATTCTTCCCAGACTCAATAAAGCAACACACCATCCTGCTCTACACATGCACTCCCCCCAGAGAGAATAAAGACAGGCTGCAGTATCAATCATTCACACAAGAGAAAAAAAAAATGGAAACCTGGACATGGGACAGCGTGCATTTCTTATCCCAGTAACTTCAGCTATTCTTGCCCCTAGAAAGTTTCAAGACGGGGTTCATTTGCAACAGGGAAGGATAAGTAGTACACACTTCCAAATCTCTGGATCCACCTTACTTTGCACTTATTATTTTCTCCATATAATGGCAATAACCTAGGCCAGTCTGCTGGTACATGCTTGATACCCACCCCAGAGGACAGAGCTTATTTTCAATCAGAGGATTTGAAATGTGTCCAATTTTCCAGTGAAGAGTCTGGGTATTTTCCATTCCAGGCTGGAGTCATATTTCCAGGTACAAAAGTTGGTTGTCCACCTATTCAAATTCAACAGTTTGGCCTATAGTTAAGCTTGCATTTAAAAAAAAGGTTAAATGTTGAAAACAACTTACTATATTATAATTACTGGCATTTATTCTTTGCAGGAATCCATCATAATTTCTTCTAATCACACAAGAGAAATGAAGTGCAAGTGAACACAGACATGGATCAAGCAGGTTCAAGCTTCCTTCATGACCAAATACTATTATCACTTCAGTAGAACGGCATTAACAACTGTTTCATGAACATTCTCCTACAGATGCTATAGGAAATAAGGAGATGTGTGTATACTGTAACATTTGAAGATGATGGGAGTGTTTGCTTTGCTTTAGTTAACAACATTCTGAGAGCCATTACAACTTTCAAATATACACGGATTGCACTCTAAACACTCATGCCAATTTCAAATTTGACAGTGTGCAGAGATAGACTGAAATGACATGAAAAACTTCAATCCTCACACTATCACATTTTTCTGATAAGAGATATCTGCCTTTATTGCATATCATGCAGCAATTCTAGAAGAACAGCTTTCTCATGTTACTGAATTATGATGCTTTGTCAAGCTGAACCTTTTTAGTTCTTGCTGCCATGCAACTGTTAAAAGCTACAGCCCGTTCATTCACTGGGAATGGGAAAAAAGCAACACACAGCATAAATTTCCCTGTTGGTTCTGGGATATAAGTATTACACGGTTCTGAAAACAAGCCTTGATGTCAAGATAGATATATGCCCTTAACAGTTCAAACATGAAAGTGGTGCCTCTAACCTAATCAACATGATTTTGTCATAAGCCCAATATCATCATAAGGGGCTTTATAACTCAGGAAGTATACCCTGAGCCCTAAGATCTTACTATTTGATAAATCAGACAGAGAAATCAAAGGAAGAATAGTAAATTTAAACATCTTCCCATTTCCATCCCTGAAAGGGCCATCCCCTTATACAAAATACTCACAGATTTAATTTCATAGCTGAAGGGAGTTCATCCCTGAAGAGGAAAACAATCTTGGAAACTCAAAAGTAGTGTTTTGCTATCTTTTGCCTTTTTTATATTAGAGATTTGTTCAATTCATATGTCACTAGCACTTGAGAAAGGAGAAAATATTTGAAATTACCAAAAAGAAAAGGCAGCCAACAAGTAAGCTGTTGGCTGATAATTATCAATCTTCCTTCTGCACAGTGTTTAAAAAGGTACACAATCTTTACAATAAAAGCTGGATGTTTATGTGGGTGAAATATGTGGATAACTGTTTCAAACAAAAAGCTAAAATTGTTTGGATTTGATTAGCTACTACTTATTTTAAGATTTCCCTCATTGCTGCCAAAGAACACACTCACTCATTAACATACACACAAATATATTCCATCTAGTCACTCAATCTTTTGCTGGTCTAGCTAGAAAGGTGCTTGCCTATAACAAGGGAGAAATTAAAACAAAACAGGAGTAATGCTGTACACAATCAGTTTATACATCTTTTTTTGAATTTGGAAAATATATTGCTTGAAGTGATTAAAATAAATATTTAGAGATCCATGTTAGAAAAATGGCTGAGGAGTAATGGAAAATGCCCTTCAGTACCCATACTCCATCCTTTACCTTTTCAAGGTAAGGGCTTTTGTATTTTTGCATTGATATCTCCCAGTGTTTATGGCTGATAAATAAAATTAGGTGACAAGAAAAATATATATATATCCCTCAAAAGAGTAGTCTTTGATGGCTGACCAGTCCTAGGAAACTGCATCTTTCAATACCTGCTTCTTCAGATCTCAGTCAGTTAGACTCTGCAGGAGCTATCTATATGTTCTGGCAGGAAACAAGATTGTAGTCAAGAATATCATATATTTAAACGGCTCTTTACACCAACCTATGAAAAAAGTTAATTTAGAAGATAATACTTTTGAGTCCAGCAATAGTCTCCATTACATCCTCATCAGAATATGTTTTTATATCATTCCCTCAAACACAAAATAGGCAGTTTGGTCTTTTGAGTGAAATCAAAGAAAGGGGTATTGCATATTTTTCTCTCTTTGGCAGATGGCTGTTGGGTTCAAGTTTCTGAATTACACAGACTCCCCGCCCGCTTTTTAAAGTCTTGCAAACCTCAAGAATTTCAAGAGACCATGCTCTGTTAACTTGACAGCTTGGTCTCAGTTATATATGGCTATCATTCTCCATAGGTTGCACATAGGTAGACTTTAAACAACACTAGCTTTTCATATACAAACTAGAAAACCAGGTTTTAAAGTAGAAATTTGATAAAATAAATTACTCGAATGGCAGCTGCTGATTCCTTCTCCTACATATTCTAAGTTACTCAGTCGCTCTCAAGAAAGGAAAAAAATCAATTATCAGTCTATAGAAGAGAAGATGTGATACTCCTACATCTAAACATGCCAGGAAACAGTAATAATATGTGCTCTAACCTTCTAGAAATCAAAATTCTTCTTGGCACAAAATGGACACAGACATATAGATGTTTCAACAGTCACGGCATATTTAAGAAAATGGGAATATGGCAATTTTCTAACCTATTTAGGAAAAACTTTTAAAATCTAATATAAGCATGTACATACTTAAATCTCCACTGTCATTATAATCCTTTCTACTTTATCATCTATATGTGAATGGTGAAACTGGACTTGACCAAGTTTATCAAATGGAAAAGAACAAGCAGATGACTATTGCATAGTGCCAACAGCAAATTAAAAAGCAACTAAAAAACATTACAATTCATGGACCTGGTTATGAATCCAGCTAGAAATTAATATCACCTGACATACAAATAGCAGCTGCACCAACCAAGAAAAAGCTAAGCAAAACATCTATTTCATAGCAAGCACATCTCTATAAAAATGCACGCTGTCCCTTTTAAAAGTTGTGAAAAAAATAACATTTGCTCCGTCTACAACTGCTCTGTAGGCAAAATAACTTCTTTTAAAAAGAGATGGCTTCTCCATTTTAATCTTTTTTAAAAATTTCTTTTAGATTACCTAATTAACTGTGACAATAACTTCTAAACAAAACATTGGTGTATTTTTCTCTCTCATAGCACTGAACGGCACTCCTGAATTTCAGCATTCACACATGCATACTTTAGGGTTGTCTTTTTTCTGGAAACAACTAGTCTTAAGTTATTGTTTGTTTTCTTCTTATCCCAGATATGGAGAGTAAGAAGGAAGTTCATGATGTATCTTCTATGAGCCACAAGAACTTCCTCTCCCTCCAAAGTTCGTTCTTTGTTAAATTCTCTTCTTGAAGATACCCGTTTTTGTTTTTAAGACTGTCCAAAGGGATAAGGACCATGAAAACCCTGAAAAAGAACAAGAAAAAATAATAATTTTAGTTTGGGAAATATATTAGGCAAAGTCTACTTCATTATGTTTGAAAAATTAAATCTTAAATTTTAAAAGTCTTCCGCTACTTTACTCTTCTCAAATTTGTTTGCAGTTGTTTAATCCAGATTTCTACAACTAGATGTTTTAGGGCCAAAATTCCCAGAACTCCCAGCATGTATGTCCCTTGCCTAGTTATTTTATTCACATTTCAATAACAAATCCTAAGACTGCCAAAATATTTGATTACTATCATTTCCTTTCTAATCATAATAATCTGGTAAGTGGTCCATAGATATAGCCAAAAAATCTGTTGCATCACACTTCAGATTAGAATGTTTACTATTTACATGCTTCTGAAAATCAATAGTTTGTGTTCACAATCTCAAAAACTCTAAGTTTTTAATCATTTACACTTTTCAAAGCTGCTCGCTTATAAATATTTATGGTTTATGGCACTAAAATATTGGTATTATTAGCATAAAAAACTTGATCTTATTCCAAAAGCAACATACAATGCCCATTAGTTGTATTTGTAATGAACCAGTTTCCTTTAATATAAGTCAAAACAAAAATATTTGCTGGAAGATAAATCCTGCAGAATGTCATTAGGCTGACCAGTAGCTACAAATGCTATGAGTAAAACTGCACAGATTAGTCTCAGCATGCCACAATTTTCTACCCAGGATCTTTTCATCATCAGCCATTAATAGTCTGATAGATCATGATGCTAAAATTGTTTATTAACTTTCGATAATAGAATAATATATATTTAAGGATTAGCTCACTCTAGCAGAAAACTAAACTAAGAAATTCTTTTTAATTATTGGTTCCACAATCCATTTTTAATTATGTGCCAACAAATCAGTGTTGGCTCTTAGCAACCACACTGATAAATTTTCTCCTTGACAATCTGTCCTTAACCTGATCTTCCAGGTCTTAGGATCAATTTACGGGGCATATAATACTGAATATTTCAAATCCTCAAAGCTTTCAAATGTTCAAATGCTGAGAATGTATCTCTCTCCTGACAGTATTCTAATAGTACTGAATCTTTCTAAAGAAAAGGGCTTTAATATATAACATATATTAGAACAATACAATAAAATGTAACACATATATAACAATTATAACAAAAATAGTGGCAGCCTGCTGTCCATATTGTTGAGAGCCATACATCTGTTTTAATGGCAACACCCATGTATCTACAGGTTGCTGAACAAAATAGGATACCTGTTCACAAGCAATAAGATGAGCAAGAAAGCATCTGTTGTTTGTTAAAGGCAAAAGGAGATTTACTCAACCCCTGTTCTACCTGTCTTCAAGTATGTTTTTAAAACACAGTTCTTCTTTTAAGCAGGCTCGCTTTAGGTTGGGGGTTGTATGGCAGCTTTTAAAAACGTTCTTTCTG